CAAAGTTTGAGACAAAAAAATAGTTAGCTCAATTCGTGTCAAAGTAATAAGTGATTTAAATCTAAAGCCTGGAGGCATTGCAAAGACATTTATAGACATTTGAGCCAAAATAATAACTCAGAAATTATTTGCTCTGAAAGTGAGGCTTAGTTGAAGATCCCCAGCCTTGGGCTCGAAACTTGTGATGATTCTACTTTGAATTATAAAACTAAGTAATAAACCTTTTTTTTTCTTCTAAAGGCACTTTTTATTGCTTCACAATCCAAGACTAGACAGGAACTAAACTATTATGCTTTTATTAAGTATAAAAGCCTATGCCTATCACTTTCAAGTGCAATTGTAATGTAAACACCTTAAAAACACCCTTTCAAAATCCACCACAAAGTATGTGACAGTGCTGTCTCAAAAATAAAATTTAATTTATAATATTACCTAAGCTCTAAAATTACTCTTATATGAGGATACAGAAAATTGTATAGCCTAAGCATGCTCGGTAGTAAAAATATTTTTGTCTCCCAAATCATTATAGGCCTTCTGTTACTTGAAATTTAAACACTAATAGCATTTGAACAATGGAACCAAAGCAATAATTATAGTCTGTTGTTTTCCTTTTTAGTAGTCATAGAGACTAGTTTAAACCATTATAAAGTCATCAAAACTTGTGTCAAAGAGTATATAAGTGATTTGAATCTAATATCATCATTGTATGTATGTCTAGTCTATACTATGAATTCCTGGGGTATATGAAAACCATTTTAAGTCTTGTATATACTTAAGGGGTTTTTTTTGTTAAGTAGGCCTACCTATTTATAATTTTCATCTATTGCCATATTCTGAAGGACATCAATTTATGACCAATATTGTTTGAAAACTATTATACCTTTTGATATGTCATCCACTGTTGTAGGCTTACACTTTTACTGGATCTTGCAAAATGAATAGTTGTAACACCTAGTGTAGTAACATGATGCATCATTTTAATCATTCATAGTATTGATTGTTAGTTGGGCGGGCTCTCATCGGTTGTATTGCTTCGAAGCATCTTTCATTGTTGAATTACTGTCGAGACATTGTTTTTATTTGTCTTGGAACTATCGATCCACTCTAGTTGTCTAAAAGGATTGGATCGGCCATTCAATCTTATTAAGACTTGTGCACTTCTTTTCAAATTGAAAGACTTTTTGCTGTCATAGCAAATCATTTCAAATGTAAGTTTTTTTTGTTGATTAAAAATTACATTGACAGATATAGGGTCAATAAAATATATAGGCCCTAAACTAGAAAAAAAGCAATTGCTGTAATTAATGCTTGCTCTGCGTCTGCCAATTCCCGACATAGGAAATCACCACAAATGACTGCCATATTTAATAAAATAAGATTAATTAACAGTAACACCATTTTTACCTTATTAAAATGTAAATTAAAAAATCTCTTTTTTAATTTTCTTTTTATTATATCTATGTCATCCATATAGGTCTATGATAAATAATCAGTACCGAACTTTATACAATAACTTTAAATGTTTAAGTTGGTCAATCATCTTGTTTCTTTGCTATTTAAAGATAAAAAACAAAAACATAGTCTAATCATGTAAAATGCATTAATTGAACAATGTTATTGTATTAAATAAGTGACAATTGGTGTGGTTTGTTATTATTAGCCTGTTATTAACACAAGTAGTGGTTTGGGATTAAAATTTATTAATCACATAAAAAGAGCGGGAAGTAGATTTAACTGTTACAAAACATAACCATTAGTCAGTGTCCAGTTTGGTCGGGGAGACCAAAGAAGTTGATTCATAAGTAATGGACTCTTTTTGAGTTTGCCTCTCTCCGCCCTATCTCGTATCGTCTTTAAATAAATATTACTTGTACAGTATAACATTTCCTTATGGACACCCTAGTTTTGCCCACCAAATTATTTAAGAGGATTATAGTCCTACTGCATTTTTTATCATCAGATAATCTAAATTACCTATTTGTCAAATTAAAACTTATCTTTTCTACATAACACAATTTTTTTATATATATTGTTATTTTATAAGTAACAATATAAAAATTGCGGTACTGTTCGCGTATTATAGGAGACTGTCACAGTAAGTGGTCTACCCAGTGGTTGGCAGTTCAAAATATTAACAACAGTATGCTTAGTATTATTTATACCTGAGTTAAAACAGGCATCATTAACTGGCTCTTCATGTTTGGAGACCTCCCAATAACTCAAAATGTTGTTGATGGTTCTGTCTAACCCTGGCCCTTCTTTTGTTTGTAGTTTGGCAAAACATACATTATCATAACAGAGTGTATATGTGTGTCAGTATCTTTTTTTACACCAAAAACCATGCAAATTAACCAAAAATTTAAAGCATAATATTTCCAAATTAAACTACTCAAAGATGATCCTCCATATGTGCTTATTCCATTTTCATCAAACTAAGCATAAACGTAATATTAACGTTTTGTATTAGAGTTATTGTTACAACTTGACTAACACATTTTAAATCCACATATAATTTGCTCTCCACAATGCTGTCTGTGTATGGCTAAATGTAGAGGTAGAAAACATTTCTTAATTTTAAATAAAAGTTGTAAACCTTCCCCTCGGGACGAGAGTGAAAGAGGGAATACAGTGTAATTCAAGTATTTTTAAAGTGAGCAAAATGAACACAATATTCATTATGTTCACGGAGGGAGATAAACATTCATTACTGGCAACAAAGTGTTGCCAAGCCTTTTGTCTTCTCACCAAACAAGAAGCGAAAATTAATATTTCAGCTTTGTCTCAAGGTTTTCAAACATTTAATTAATGATGTGGTATTTTACTAACATTTCAGAGCCATTTAAAAGTTACCGACTGAAGAAAAAGTAAAGTTTGATGGTTCGGAACTTTTTTAATCCGTGATTAAGTGTTTTGTACTTTCCGATCCTATCGGATTTTGCCAATTCCGAGTTCTTTTATCATGAAAGTAATTGCGAAGGAGTAGGCCTATTCAATTTTTATTTATAGGCATAATTAATTTGTGATCGTACAGTGATATAGTGTAAGTATTTAAAGAGGTTTTTACGTGTTATAGGCTACGCCTCAAAGCTATCATCAACAAATCTACTGGAAATTTAATTTTCTGGTATTTTAAAATCACATTCACCCTTGTTAGAAATTTTATGTTACCTTGATATATTATAATGTGTGATTTCTTTATTTATGTATTTATGTTTGGAATCTTGAGAATTGTGAATGGGCAATTTCTTATCCTTGTATAACTGATAAGAGCATATGCTAATTTGTTTTGTTTTTTCATTCATTTTTGCAAATAAATTTTAAATCCAATTTTTGGAAACATCTTAAACACTGTCTCTGATGCAGACATTATGTCGGAGCTTATAGTACAGTAGTGCTATTTACAGGCGGACCCTAGGTCATATTTTATCTCAACCATCTTATCAGGTCAGGAGGTGAACACACTCCCTATGGGGGTGGTTACAAGCTCTTTTCCAGTTATTGAAGATGGAATGAGGTAAAACTTGTCAATAGAGTTTGCGAATGGTTCAACCTATATTGTGTACACATTTCGCCAGTTGTAATATCAGTTTGGTTGACATTGGTCTGATGTGTGTGAGCAAGCAAACACTCCTGAAAATTGCTTTTCCGGTTACGGTCGTCGCGATCCATAGAAAAAATAGTTCTATAAAAAAAACTACTTTGTAGAAACGAGTACTTAATTTGGCTGCAAAGGGAAGGTAGTAGGGATTAGGTAGGTGTGCTTTTAGTTGAATGTTAAATGGATCAAGTAAAATTGTCAAATTTGATTAGAATATGAAATTAACATTGAGAGCAAACTACATTACTTTTACTTATTCTTCATAAGAATAGGATAAGAATTTGAATCAATAGTTTTATGGAATTTTCTTTGTAACTCTTTTAAGCGCACAACAACACTTCAAATATACCAACTATATGATTTTAAGCTCTAAAAAGAGACTTAAAAAAAGTAAAGCGATCTAGGTCTTACAGTGAAAGCTAAGGTAATAACTTATTCCCTATAAGGGAAATTCGCTCACAATTATGTAAATATCTCTTTTGTTAGGATGAAGAGCATCAAATTTTTTGAAAAGGTAAAAAATAAGATGTCTACTACGGTACCCAGTTTAAAAGAAGGGGATTAAATCACTGGCCATTGTTTTTTACGATGCACTTTATAAATTACAATTGCTCTTTATATTGCTGCAGCTTTTGGCACCACTACTAAGGATCCTACACTTATGTTAGTAGGTCATGTTGTAAAGAGCAAAATAATCTGTTGTAAATCACTGCTAAATGAATGCACACCACACACCAAGTCTTGTTATAAAACTAATGAGGTAGTTAGTGGTTAAACTGTTTGATGTGACAAATTAAAGGTCACTTGATCTTTAATAGTACATTTTACATTTGGCAATAGGTTCTATCATATTTAGGGGTTATCTCAGGTCAAAAGTTATGATACAAAAGTCCCCTTGTCGACGGTTATATTCCTGATATTTTAGTTGTGTTTCTGGTGCAAGGACAGTAATTTATTCTCTTCCATCAATGTACAATACTACTAGGGACTAAGGAGTATACATCTATGGTTTCTTCCTGCTTCTCTTTATTGGTAATGTCTTGTTTGAAATTGTATAAATTGTTGTGAAATGTTAGCAAAACTTGCTAAAATTAGGGTATTTTATTTAAATTGTATAAATATTCAAAATAAATACAAAATATATTGTTGGAGTACCGGTACCTCATTATTTTCAATTATTAAACTTAGTTTTAAATATGGCAACTTTTCTAATCCGTATAGAAGTAATGTTCTAATTTAGCTCTAGAGCTAGCTAGTCTTTTTAACCAATGCATTTGTGTTGTTCTGGGTGGATTTTTTTACAATCCCCTCTCCCAACCCTTTTCAGTAGTAGGAATGATTACAAACAATTATTGTTATCTAGTTCTAGTTTAATAACACTTTTGTTCTTCTTGTGTTGCAGAAGTACAAAAAGCTCAAGTGCAGGGGGCCAAACTTCCCAGAGAAAATCGCTATGTTGATATCTACAGAGAAAAGCCCATCAGGGTCGCAGTTAAAGTTCTTGTACCTGTCAAAGAACACCCTAAGGTAAGGAAAAAGCTATACAAATAAATATATAGGTATGTTCAAACATTATATGTTGTGAAAATGTGATTGATAAAACCATAGACTAACCAACACTTCTCATCTCATTATAAATTTTGAAGCTCATTTTTCGTGTCTAGTTCATGTCCCACTGACTGCTAGTGTAGACAAAATTTTGTTTCTATTATAATTTCATGGGGTTATATAACTAGGGGACGAGTTATTGTTTATGATTATAGTTTTATTTTATTTAACAAGATTTTAACCAACTGAAATAACAAGAAACAAATTGTAAACAAAACACGACCTCTGCAGTGTACTGGGCAGAACTAACAAAATTTTTCAGCTTTTCCATAAGGATGGGAAATCTACTCAAGGGAGTACGTTTTACCTATGATAAAACTACACCTTAATGCCAAGTGCATTCTTTTCACAAGAATGTTTAGCATTAGGTACCTATAAAAAATATAATAGTTTTTATTGTTTTATACCATCGTTGGTTTTTAGTCGATAATCAATGGGGACCTAGAGTTCTATATGCCATAAATATAGAATCAACTTGTGTTAGTCATAGAAAAGACTATTTTCGTGCAAAACTAATGTTATGTATTCGTCTTCCCCTTAAATATCACTATTGTCACGTTTGCTTTCTTTTACAGCAGCATTAATAATTTCCTAGCTAAAATTACTAGTATATTAGTATTTCAAAAAAATTAATATATATTAATTTATTACGATTTAGGTTCGCAAATAGGTAACCTCCTTAAATAGCTGTTGTACGCACTTGCCTGTATTATATATATATTGACTTGAGATGATGCCAAGTTTTCTTATAACTTGTTGAACTGAATATTTAGGTTGCTAATTATAAACTGTATATTTTGTATGCGTTTACCGTGCTTTGTTTGACTCAATTGTTTTGCTACAGTTCAATTTTGTTGGGAAACTCTTGGGACCCAAAGGAAACTCACTCAAACGACTCCAAGAAGACACCATGACAAAAATGGCCATTTTGGGCAGAGGCTCAATGAGGGACAAGCAAAAGGTAAAAACTATAAGTACAAATTAACTGATTGCGTAAGTTATAACATTTATCTCAAGTAATGTCAAAAGCATTAATCTATTACTGAAATGGGTTTTTTTCTTATAGTTGACTGAGTCCTTAAACAAGTCAAATAGCCCTTGCAATAACCCAGTCTGGATGCCTGCCAAAGTTTGCCTCCTTTCGTAAATCTTCATTCAGCAAAAAAGGCCATAAAACTCTCGGGAACTTGTCCAGTTAAAGCTCCAGAGATTAAACATTAGTGATGCAGTAACTTATTTAACTGTCCTGTATTAAAATCTAGACTTTTTATTCTAAAACATGATAGTCCATTTTTTTTAACGTCATGTAGACTTTTTTATCGTTTTGTGTAAAATGAATGGTTTTTTTTAGTTTGTTATACATTTTGATAACTAGCCTATACAAAATTATAAAGTTTGTTTGAAATTAATTCAGCGCTGCGTGAGGGAAGATGTTTCTAAAGGTTAACAAAGGGGAAGTAGACAGGGAGCTTTTAACAAGTTCAACGGCTTGTGAAGAGTTAACAGCTTTGGGTGGAATAATGTGAGCCTTTGATCATCCTTTCTTGTCCTAACTGGGTTAAATTTCATTTAATACTTCAGTGAACTTCCGTTATTGAGAGGAAAAACTTACAAATCTCAGCTAGATCCTTTTCATAACATGGGGGGGAAATCACTCACATCCCTTATGACATAATAGAAAATTTGGCAATGAAAATAACTTGTTGCGGATTTGTTATTCCTAAATTTGTGTTTCACAAAGGTATATTCTTCAATTTTGCAACTAATACTGGCCATTTTGTTCTTTAATTTATACAAGAATGTAATAAATCTTTATTGCTCCACAAGCAATAGAGTCATTTATCAAAGTTAACAATACTGGTACATCAAGAAATAACACTTTTGAACATATAGAACTTCTTGTCAAAATGTGGTTTATTTGTTGGATGTACTGTATTGGTGAAAATTATACTATTACTACTAAAATAAAACCATATTTACAAGTTTTATTTCCTTCCACAAAATATCTAACTAATTTATTTTCTGATTTTCTACACCATATAAATAACCAACTCCAGGGAATCAGATTGAGATAGAAATAAAGGTTGTCAAGCTTTAAGAATAATTAGACTTTATTACAAAGCATTTACATGCTTAATGATGGGTCAAAATGAGAAGCCATACTTGGAGTTTTAATGTCTTCTAAAAGCTTGATTAGTCTAATTGCATTTTGCACCATTAGGCCAGTTTTATAGTTTTTTTGTTAAAATTGCCCTTCTTTCAGTAGAAATCTCAAGATAAGAGTTTTTTTAAGTGATAATGAACAGATGAGTGGAAGACATCCAGTCTAGCCAGTTTTATAATACAAACATTTTCTAGTGCCAAATAGTATTCTTGCCAAACACATCAAGCAAACCTATCACCATATTATCTTGTTTTACCATGATATGCCAAATGACCCAATTAAATAGTTATTTTTTAATGCAATTAATTCCTTTAAAATATAAAATGAGTATAAATTGAATTTGTTAAATTAGTACGGGTTATTCTTGGGCTGTTATTGATATGGTGTTAGAAGAGTACAATGAAAAAAATTGTTTCTAACCAATTGTGTAAATAGGTACATACACTAAACCAAAAATGTAAATAGCTTTATTTAAAGAAATTCAATACCTAATGTGCTAACAGCTCCGATAAAAGTGCCCAATATTTTTAGTTCAGTCCCAGATGTCCCCAAAAACCCACTGAATAATAAGAAAACTTATCCCTTATGTTTATAACTTGTTACATTTTTTACTAATGGAGATACAAGATGTCAGAACTACTAGATATTTGTATGCTGATTCATGTGAAAGTTCTTTTTGTCGATGATAAAAATTTTATATCCTTGGTTTTGAGTTAAAGCGTGATCAATACAAATTGTTAGTATGGTAAAAAGTAAATATTTCTTTAAACGTTCCTAAATCTGTTTCAATAGCATATAAATATTGCATTACAACATAACTTTTTTTACAGAATATCCCAAAACATTGTTTGGTAAGGTCCCCCAAATATCACCACAAACTCTTTGGTAGTTGCTGTAGCTACCTTGTATACTGTAAGATTGGATACATAATGTGAGAAGGAAGTGATCCACAGCTAAATTATTTAAGAAAAGAGTTCCAGGCAGTTGAAAGCACACAAAAGGTTCACAACCCAATTGATTATCTTGACACTTTGCCCCCACAACGGGGCTTCTTCAGAAAGAAGTAGAATGACAGTTACAAAACTCTGGCTCACTGCCTGGAACTTCCTTTTGGTAAGTTAGTTGTATATACATTCCTTCTTCGGTATTCCTGAGCCATGAAATTTACTTCCAAAAAACTAACCTGTAAGATTACCGGTACCTTGAAATAATACAACATTTTAGAGTTTTTCTTTGTTAACAGGAAGAAGAGTTCCGACAAGCCCTGGACCCCAAGTACGCTCACCTCAGTGACGACCTACATGTAGAGATAGCAGCACTGGCCCCACCGGCGGAGGCACACGCTAGGATCGCATACGCTCTAGCTGAGATCCGCAAGTACCTAGTCCCCGACAGCAACGACGAAATCAGGCAGGAGCAGATGCGCGAGATCCAAGCGTACTCAGGTCCCCCACCAGTGGAGCGAGGGGGTGCGCCGGTGAGAGGACGGGGCAGAGTACCACCTCCACCACCACCAGGCCCCCGTGGCGGACCTCCCATGGGTCTGAGGATGGCTGCCCCCCGCCCCGCACCCCCACTGCTACCCAGGCCACTGCCAGCCAAGACCAAGGTTCTGAGTATACTGGACCGGGCGAGACAGGCTATGGAGGAAAGCTACGGTGGCTACGATGACATGGGCCCTGACATGGGCGGCCCTGCATCAGGCTTCTACGACTCTCCTTCACCTGGCTTCAACTCAGGACCCGGGTAAGTCTTACTCTTGTGTGCTTTAAATCTAGGCTATACTCCAGTTCTCACTGTTCAGTAGGGAGCCTCTGTAAGATGTGTGTTTTAAATGGGAATATTTGCAATAAGACATAATACAGAAGGTTTGTCATGGTGTCCACTGTCTGTGAGTTTTGGGAAAACCGAGAATCCTACAGGTATACCTTGAAATATCTTGCAAAACTTAAGGAATCAAACCAATCCTCCAAAAAATAGGACAAAAAAACTAACACATTCATAAAAAAATTGTGATTAAAAATACCCATATTTAGTCATACAAAAATCACCTTTAAATCAATTTATTGTTGTTCGTTTGAATAGAAACTAAATTAAAAAATAAATAAAGCTCCCATTACATTGAACAAACATGAGACACGGGCAAACCACAGATGTTTTTATTTACGTTTCATTTGGTATTGTAATCTTGGAACAACTTACATACATACAAAGATGATGACACCATAACCAACCCCTGTCACTGGAAACCAATAGACAGTGAATTTCTATTTGCCTGATTGTATTTTAAATTAATCAATTTAAATAACATTCCATTTAACAAGTATTTAGCTTTGCTGCTACAGTGAGAGTAAACTAATCTCATGATTAGGAGTGTGCGATGCATCGAAATTACAATTTGATTTTATGCATCGAATCGCAATTCGATTCATTGGTGATCAAAAAACTTTTCGATTCATGAGGGAGTCAGTATCAATATACAAAAAACTCCTACAGAAAGTCAACGCAATACCCGCATTACAGGAGCGTGCTGTTGTTGCGTTTTCTTTTTGGAGGCGTTTTTATTTAATTAATTCTTTGCATGTAGGCTAAATATTGCTTTAATTGTTTGATATTTTTTTATTTGACATTGCAAATGATGAGAGGTTTTGTTAAGTGTAAGCAGTGTGAGACATGTTTTACTACTGCAAACATAGCCAAAAAAAGTGACCCCAAAATCATTCAAAAAAATTACACAAGTCTGAAAATTTGTTACTTACAGTAGTAAGATTGATGTTTTTGACTGATGAATTTTGTATTTTTGTAGGTCTGCTTCTATCCTCTCATTTTAATAATGTAAACCATTTGAAAGTTTTAGTATAAATCGGTTAGTATTAGCTTTGACTATTAATACAACAACGTATTAGTACACATTTTGTTTGCACAAAAACATATCTTTAATTGTAAAATCAATATTATAAAAAAGGTAACATGCTTAACAATATGATTCTGCTAGTAAAAATCATGAAATAGGCAAGTAAAGCAGCTCACTGACATTTCCAGCAATACAGGTTTTTCTAATAAATGATAAAAAATTAATATTCATATAATGTTATGTATGAATATGTTAGGCCTAATAACACATCAACAAAAATTTACATTGCACAAATGTTGTAAATTTTAATTATTGTCAATTGACAAGTGCGAACAAAAAAATGCCGAATTGCTTAGAATCGAGTTGCATCGAATCGAAAATCTTTTGGATCGAATCGTTGCTTCAAATCAAAAACTTTTTGCTGCATCACACACCCCTACTCATGATGGAATGATATTCTTGTTTGATGATGTTTGACATGTTTTCAGTTACGGTGGTGACTACAATGGAGGCTCTGCAGGAGATTATTATGACACAGCCAACTACACTGGTGAGTCATATGTTTGAGACATCACAGTCATGAATCTAACAGTCTGTGTTAGGACATTGCTTGCATGTACTACATACAACACTTTCATATTGTATTCAGATAATGCTAAACTTTGGCGTTGGAAATCAGATTAAAGTATTCTTTAATTATTTATTTAATGAAACGTGCATTGAATTAAGTGAATAATGTCTGTTCAAACTACTTACAAAAATAACCATACTAATGATAAATTCATTGGAATCGATTGGAATTCAGTACATCGCAAAACGTCTTTTATGTTACATTTACCACTTGTTTTTTAATAATCAAGGGAATGCCTTTTACATGTTGAATTTGTAATGTTTATTTAAGAGTTTGAAAACTCAGTATATGTTTCTAATTAAATTTAATAATTAAATTGGAAAGAGAACAGTAGTTTTCAGCCAATTTATATAAGTTTGTTTTTTGGTTGCCACATAAAATGTATTTTGTATCTCTGATTTAAATTTAGAATAGCATGATACATTTTAAAGCCAAACTATTATAGTTTGTTCTGATCTTTTTTAATTTAAAATTAGTTTCAAGCCAACTAAACATTATAGATAAAATAATAAATGTATTTTCATAGTTAAAATAAACACAAAATAAACATAATTTAAAATAAACATTTTCTGTCAACGGCATTATTAATATTTTTAAATGTAGGTCTACTCTAAATTATATTGTTTGTTTGAAAAATACAAACCCTAATTTCAAACTATATGTAAATAAAACATTAACTTCAGAACATTTAATTTGATTTGTTTAATGTTGACGTTTCTAAATTTTGTAATGGTAAGAGAAATACATTATTTATAAATTGGCCTCTACTACTTGTTCATAATTTAGTTAAGACAAAAATGAAATTTTGACAAATAAAGTGTTGTATGTAGTAGTTTTTTTTACATTTTTTTCTTTATTTTGTTTGCTTAAATACTGTGCTCAAATCCCTCACACGGCTCAACAGTGGGTGAGTATATTGATTGTTATTTACTATTTTAACAGTTATGTATAGCCTACTAGTCAAGTGCTTGTTTGATATACATAAAAGAACATTATCTTAACAAACTTTTTACCAATGACTATCTGGTTTTCAATGAGTAATTTATGTAAGCTCAAACTAAAGCTGAACTTTCTTACGCATGGTTGGTTTCCAAAAGAGGTACTACCATTTTCCCATTAACCTACAACGTAGAGCATAGAGCATTCTTGTTCCTGGTCTTTGAACGTAGAATGGTTTTACTAGGGCTCATTACAAAAAGCTGACTTTGCGGTACACACTGTCGTCAATTAGTGGTGACACCCTTTCAAACGGTTCTCTTTATATTCACCCCTCGCAGAAAATGAACTGCCTTTCAAGCCAAGTGTCAGCAATAAATATTAATGACGAATGTTTTAAGATGGATTCATTTATGTCTTTGAAGAACCAGGATTACATAGAAAGCCTTCCTTAATGATTCTGACTTATCGCGGTTTTTAATCATCTCAAATATGAAAGTTTGCAAAAACTCAGTAGCCTAAAGTAACTTCTAAGTAGTTGATAGGTTGTGTATACGGTATGAGTTTTTTAGTTTAACTGCCAAAGCAAATAATCTATAGATTAATAATAATTTATAAATAAAAAACCTTTTTAAATCAAAACGTTTTTAAACGCACTAAAAAGTAGAAAATAATTTATAAATATGTGGAGAGTATAAATACTTGTAAGATTTAATACGAAAAACATGGGGTGCATGCAATTGATGATTATACATTAGTTCAAATAGGTGAAGGTAATTGTAAATTATCTATTTTCTCTGTTTATTCTCGAGGATTTCTCTATAGCAAGTATCTATGCGGACAGGGTACAATAGATATAGTATCCGTATGGGACTGACTCAGCAGGTAATTGCTCCGTATTTTTTGAATACCACGCTGATTCATTGATGTTTGTCAATGTTTAGCCATTGCCTAACAACTTTAACTTTTTATTTATATTTGATTCATCTTTAGAGATAATAATCTATTTAACATGCCTGTTTAGTTTCTTTACTGAAGTAAATTTTAAATGTATTAAACTCTTCTGTTTAACTCTCCTCCCTGTTTATTTGAGAGGCTTTCTGTATGGAAAGTATCTAGATGCGGACAGGGTACAATAAATGAAGAACCCGTGCAGGACTGACTATGCAGATTACCGCTCCGTATTCTTTAAACATAAAAAACTATTGATGATTGATCGCCATTGAGTGGCTTCTCATTTTATTTCATCTTATGTTTTTTCCAAGTCTGTTTATACATAGGAAAATTTACTTAGCCTATGTCATTCCTTTACCGTTACTCGGTATTATTGTATGCGTTTTTCAACAACTGTAATACAGTAAATAAAATTAACTCTCCTCCCTGTTTATTTGAGAGGCTTTCTTATTGGAAAGTATCTAGATGCGGATAGGGTACAATAAATTAAGAACCCGTGCGGTACTGACTATGCAGATTACCGCTCCGTATTCTTTAAACATTACAAAATATACTGATGTTTATTGCCATTGAGTGGGTCTTCATTTTAATTTATCTGTTATGTTTGTTGAAGCCTGTTTAGGAATAGGGAAATTATTTTCAATTTATTAACCTATATCTTTACTGCTACTCGGTATTATTGTATATTTTTTCCAACAATTATATTATGATAAATTAACTCTCCTCCCTGTTTATTTGAGAGGCTTTCTGTGTGGAAAGTATCTAGATGCGGACAGGGTACATTAAATAAAGAACCCGTGCGGAACTGACTATGCAGATTACCGCTCCGTATTCTTTAAACATTACAAAATATATTAAAGTTTGATTGCCATTGAGTGGGTCTTCATTTTAATTTATCTGTTATGTTCCTTCAAGCCTGTTTAGAAATAGGGAAATTTTTTTAAATTTATTTACCTATATCTTTACTGCTACTCGGTATTATTGTATATTTTTTTCCAACAATTATATTATGATAAATTAACTCTCCTCCCTGTTTATTTGAGAGGCTTTCTGTATGGAAAGTATCTAGATGCGGACAGGGTACATTAAATAAAGAACCCGTGCGGGACTGACTATGCAGATTACCGCTCCGTATTCTTAATACACACTTTACGATATATTTGTAGAATAATTCATTTAAAGAAAAAACTTTGTTTTTATAAAAACTTAGCGATCCCTTAAAATAACAGAGCGAACTTCCTGGTAACTAGTTCAAAAGTCATCTAGTAAATCATCAATCTCAAAACACATGTTTCACATGTAGGCTACAGAGAAAAGACACAATCAACATACAATTTAACTTTTCCCAACTTGCTTTTCCCAATATGCTAAATCCAGCTAATCATATTACTTATATCTTTAAGTTCACCCTCTATTAAGTGTCTGTTCCAAAACAGTGAATATCAAATGAGAAGTGAGTGTTTGTTGACAATCTCTCTAGTGTAAAAGCCTCTAATGTGCATTTGTAGCTGTTAACTTGAGGTAAGTAAAACAAGCCCTTGTAACACTGTTACTGCGTAAGGAGGTAAGTTGTCTCATCCAGGTAAGTGCATGAAGTGTGCCTGGTTGTCTTAGAGAGCTTAAACATCCAAATAACATCTTTCTTAAAACTTACCATAAAGTAAATGTTTGTTTACTCAAAATGCCATAAATACTTTGAAACAACAAACTAAACAATTAACAACTAATATTGATGGTTAAATATTGTAAATTTATCTGTCACAGACATAAAACACAAAATGAAAAACATCTTCTCGTTTATTTTATTTTTATTTTTATTTTGTTTTAGAACTGTTTAAATGTACTAATATGAGTATTAGCTTACACCCTAAATGATAAATATTCAAACAATAAAAGGCAAAAATGGTCTTTTAATATTCAAATTAAAACACGTCTAGCTAAAATCGGCCACCCCCAAAATAAACATAGAAGATGTTGTTCATAGTTGTTTTCAAGCAGGGTTGCTACAATTGGGGGTAGATTTAAATTTAATCTTTGATTTTTGTCCAGAAATATATTTTGAAGTAAAAAAATTATGTGTTACCGATTAACTTATAGAGGCTTTTAACAATCATACAGAGTATTGCAGTTCCTCTTTACATTAATTAAAATGTTTAACCAAAAAGATTTTTTTTAACCTTGTAGGGAAGGGATTAATACAGGCGAGGAGTAAATATATTTTTCACCACCCTTAGTTATGGCAACCAGTTGCACAGGCTATGGGGCTAGAACTTGCCATTCGTTTATAGAGAACTTTTTTGTCACTGTTCTGACTTCACCAACCAATTAAAAAGTTGTTCTCACACCACTTAACTAACTGTCATAAATAATGATTCTCTTATTATTATTGTACCTTCTCCTGTTGGAAATGGGCTGATCATAAGTAATTCTATTTTTTTTCTTTTTTTATAAAAATGATTTATAATGGTGGTTTTTTGACTTGGGGAAATAAAAGTTTTTATGTCAAATAAGAAATGGTTGGCAAACTTGAAAATCAGGCATGGAATAGTTTCTTGTGTAGGGAGTCTAAGGGTGGTGGAGGTAGTAGCAACCCTGAGATTAACTGGTGTTAGAAAAATGTTCCCATGGAAAGTTACGCTCACAAAAAATCACATTCTAAGGAGGGTAGGTGTTAAGGTTAAAGTATAAGGAGATTGACTAAGCTCTGTGAACACCTCTTCAAAACATATTTTTCTTCTGTTTCAACTTACAGATTGTTACAGTTATAATTCAGAATGTTTTCAACCTATGGATTTAAAGATCTTACTTTAAATTACATAAATTTTTACGTTAGACACCTTTACCGTAACCTATACCATTGTATGCTTGGTTAGGATAGGATTATTGCACAGATTTTTTTTTTATATTAATATTAGCTTATATATATTGAACTTAACAGAAATATGGGAATAGTTTGGATATTCATTAAACTCATCAATATTTGACTCTCTTTAGGATACTTTAGTTTACAGTTTGGAAACAAAAGAAAT